TTGTGGAGAGCCATGATCGTCCACGCCCTGAAGCAACATGACATATAATTTATATACCTTTTCCCCGACACCATTCTAAATAGAATGTTCGTATAATGCACAAATAGACAATTTTATAATTTCACGTCAAGAGCTTTATTTTTTAATAATAAACAAGTCTCTCTGATAAATTTGGTTTGTTTAGCTTTACCATAAATTTTCCGTTGAATTCAAATCCAGACATAGCCTGGGTCAGTGAAGCATTTCTACATTGTTTCGAACAAATCTTTCGCGAAATACTTTAGCTGTATGTTACAGGCCGTTCTCACGTTGAGAGATTCAGAGCTTTTCACTCTCTAACAGTTGCACTTAAGAAAATCCTAATTCCAAAATGAACATAACAAATTCCTAAATAACTCTAGTCTTTCAATCACGTGCAACTTTTCATTGCATTAAATGAGAGACCCCCACCAATCCACGATATTTTCAACTTGCTTTCTTGCTTAATGCGCATCCATTTCTTTCTTTTTTTCATATATGAAAAAATGTAGCGAAAATTTTGAATTTTCTTTTCGTCCAGACAAAAAAATCGGAATATTATTACGCTTCTCGAAATGCTTATGAGTAAGAATCATTCCATGATCATGATGCCATTTTTGCACGAAGTGTTATCCGTGGGGTACGGGATTATAAGCGATCCCTTTGCAGTTAATAAATCATTTGACAAATTCCGATATTCCAACTGCACGGAATTATCTTAGATCTTAGCTCCGATTTGACTTTTCTTATGAATTTTCGTAATTGCCTCTGAAATATTCTTTGTGGTCCGCTACACAGTGGAAGTTGCTAAAGTATTTTCACTTCAGAATGATTGATCCAGTAAAATTGATCTATAAAATGAATAGGCATTTTATTAGCAATGGTCCCGTACGTCAACAGTACATTATATTATTTAATTAGGCAATTCTTTTCTTTGAGAATCTCATATTTGAATCATAATAGTATTCTTGCAATTAAATGTAGCAAAACCCACATCCTTGAAATGGCGATTGTGATACCATAATAACCCCTTGAAAAACCGCGGGAAATTTAAAAATAAATAAAAATAAATAAATTTTAAAGTTGCATTAACCTACGAACCACTCGATGAATGTTATGATCCTTGTTTTTAATAATTACAAGTTGTATAAAGTTTTTTTTTTTTAAATCTGCTTGTACTTTCAACTGTACATTCAGTCATCCTCATGCATGGAAATGAATTTGTTTTTAGTAAATACAGGTAGTAGCGGAGAATATATATATATATATATATATATATATATATATATATATATATATATATATATATATATAAAATCAACAATAGTCAACACCCAGAGGCGACAGCAGTGTGTTTGAAGCTAAACACAATAGTCAGGCCTAATGAATGCGTTCCACTTTTGTATTTATATTTACATACGCTCTATCTCTTACTAATGATTATATCGGATTTTATTTTGTTCTCATGATGAAAATAGAATTTTATAGTTTTATTTTTGTTGGTTGATTTCCGGTCGACACCAAGCTTAAATGGGATCGACTCTGAGTAGAGTAATGGCATGTATCTTCTTAGACTTTCTCGAATATGGTCCTTTTCTATATATTTTAACCAACTAATCAACATGCTTCCGATATATTGATGATTAATGGAAGAATATTATTCCTAACCTTTCCTAGATATCAAGTTACACCACGTTAACCGATTCTACTTAAGAGCACTCAGAATTTGCAGCCCTCAATATTTACACGAAGAAAAAAAATTACACTGAAAACACTTTCAAGCTTACCATAATTATTTTATATTCAATGCGAAACAAAAAGCTCATAAAATATTACAAATAGAAAAACGGCCCCTCCTGAAAAATCCAATGAATAAACAAATTATATTGTCCTACTAACTATCACATCTGCAAAGAATCTAGCTAAATTCAACATAACATTTTTTACTACTACATCTGAAACAAGAAAAGACTTGATCAATACTAAACAACACAATAAGCTAAAACTTCAAGGATAGATTTACATGATCACCTATAATAATTGGCACAAAAGTACATATGATAAACCTGAAGGAATCTAAATAAAAGATTATATGAACACAAAGGCAGAGTTTGCAAAACATTACATCAAATGCGTGGATTGCCCACCGTAACGAGACTGACCAGGATTTTGACATAAAATATTCTATTTTGATCAAAGGAAAAAACAATTCACTTCAACGTAAATGTCTAGAGATTGTCATGATCACATGGTCATCTACAGTAAATCTGCGCCTATGTTCTTACAGTATTTCACCATTCCAGGCAGGACTTCTATTATCACAGTGTGGGATATCTACTCACAAAAAGTGATGGAAATGAAAAAGAATCTATCTATCTATCTATCTATCTATCTATCTCTCTCTCTCTCTCTCTATATATATATATATATATATATATATATATATATATATATATATATATATATATATATATATATAGTATCAATTCCGGCATCAATTCAAACAAGCACGCCACGTAGTTCGCTCGCTGCCTTCCCCTAACTCTAATTTCCATAATATGACCTGTGATTATTAAGTTTTCCAAGCCCTCCTTCCTCATTATGTGTTCAAAGAATTTCAGCTGCCTTTTCCAGATTGTAAGAACAACTGTTCTTTTTGTTAACATTTTCTTTAAGACTTCCTTTTTGCTTACTCATACATTTCTGTTGCCTCCCGTTTTTACTTCGTCTGTGAGATGATTGTCCATAATTCACTGCCATATAAAATTATTTATATCACATTACAACACAGCACAATAACTACATTGTATAATACAATAAAATTGTATGCACCAGACGTTGAGGAAATCTCGTGTCGCCCACATGGATATCGCCACGGCTGAAGTACATTATTCTACACGTAACTTTGAATGCATCGATTGTTTGGAATCTGTAATCGTTCAGCAAGAGCTACAATGTTTTTTGGGGTTTTTTTCTGCATGGAAGAATTAAATAAAATGTGTCAGATATAATTTTACCAGATTTCTTTCATAGAAAATGACAAAATAGTAATTGTTAAGTAGGAAGATTTATCCTCTACAACCAACATCCACCTCTGACATTGTGTGCTATCATAACAGAAGACACATTACCCTGTGCATGCGTGCTCGCGTGTATATAATAGGGATTTGAAAGCAGATTAACATCGATAAATTACCACGATCCCCAATCACCTAAAATCACTTCAAATGTCCTAATTTACTCATTTATTTATTTTCATATTTTTTAAGAAACAAACACATGCATTGAAAATGATAAGAAAAATGTCATGAAAGTTTCCTTTTTCTAAATGGTGATTAAATTACATAGTTTCTTTTCATGTCTTTAAATATATTTTTGTTTGTTTTCTTACGCCTTCCTCTTCCCCACTGAAAAGACCATTTGCTTTTCACACAGAGGAACTGTTATCAAAGTGTAGTTATGAGAACATTAAAAAAGTACCAGAAAATAATAGAAATATATTACGTAGTATTATATAAATATTCTTTTGTCTTTAACCTCTAATATCGTGGTAAGGCAGAGTGTGTGTTACCAACACTTCAGAATCAGCGCTGGTGGAAAAAAGATTGGCGAAAGTCCTGCTGTGCAGAGATGCTCAGTCAGCAAGTAAGCGCTACCCGCATTGCTATAGCTAAATTATATGGTTCTGTCATAAAAGAGAAATTAGCCTACCCTCATCACACTTGGCAAGCTCTGACCTAAAGAAATGTGCATTATGCATAGGGAAAGTAATATAAATCATCATTTTCATTGTTGGTAGTGATACTAGTTTTAGTAGCAACTGCAGTAGTAAACGTTGTTTTTTGTTAGTATCTTTGTTATCGCCTCCAACATTTCAGTCAATTGCATACCGTTGTACTATTATATATTATCATAGATATTATTGTTATTGGATTTCCTTCAATAATTTTATTATCACCATGACTATATTGTTATCCATGACTGCCAAATTCGAATTCTAGTGTTTCATTCTTGAACTAAACAAATAATATTACTGTTGCCTTCAACAATTTGTATTGAGTCGATTAATTATATTAACTGTTTAATGGAAAAAAAAACCCTGACTTATTTCTTTTCGCGTGTGTGAAATTTCCTTTACTTGGTAAATGCAGAGATGGGAAAATTGTTTAGTATACATGCTCTTGTTATCTGAATGCAAAAAAAAAAAAAAAAAAAAATACAATAGATTATTGATAAACATTGAAACATTCAACAATTTGGACAACGCTCGTCGACAACGACAATGTCTCCACTTTGGAATAAGCAACCCACCATATTTACTGCTTCTAGGTTTGCTTTAAAAGAGTAACGTTCTCGTTTCATCGACGTATCGAGCGTTTCATCAACAACAGGGAGTCACAAATAGATAAGACCTAATCAAATTCAAACATTTCTACTCTGGCCCAAGCAAGACAACATAAGTCAGAATCAACTGCCTGTATTAATAATTTACATCTCTATTTAATTTCAAGGACAGAAATCCTCTTCAGTTAAACAGATATCGACCAAGTTGTATTTTCGAACAAGGATAACCAAAATACTGAAATTGTCCTTCCATTAACATCCTGATGTTTTGATGACATTTACAGGATTCGTGGTTTGTTTTGTTTTTTTAGTGAATTGAAAGCAAATGGATTGTGCATTGTTCTGTTGGATATCTTGCAGATCTCCAAGGGAAATTAATTTTGTAATGACTGATTGATTGATTCGTTTTCTACGGCTTATCAAACTTTTTCAGGTTATTTAAAGCCAGAAAATATTTTTAGATTTTTAGAAATTTTGTGGGAAATAATAATGGTTTAGTGATACAAGTCTTACTAATTAACTCATGGCTGGTGGGGGGGAGGAGGTGGATTTGTAGCTTTCCCAATGTATTTGCACGTAAGTGAATATAATAAAACCGCCTGAAATTGGAACTCTGAGTCACCACTCGCACATCCGAGCTTACAGCAGCTAGTATTTCCACGCGATCACCCATCTAGGTACTCACCAGGCTCCACGTTGCTTAACTTTGGTGATTGTACAGGAATAGTTACTTCAACGTGATATAACCGCAAACAACCCTATGACTATAACCCTATTGACTATAATTCTTACTTGTAGATTAGTGAATGCTTCATATCTTCGTCATTTATAGCAGAAGACAATAACGATGTTGTTTTATAGCTTCTGGGTCTGAGCGATGATAGCCTTATATTACTGGACATAAACTTTACAATTTCATATATTTTTTGCTTTTGTAGAGAGAGAAAATTTGAAATTATTTCTGATTACTCAGTTTTAATTTGAATGGGAAAAAAGGAATTTCTTACAGTTAACAATTATTGTTTCTTATATGTTTTTATTTATATCAGAAATAATTTTTCATTCCATTTGTATATTTTATCTTAATAAAATAGAATTGTATATTTCGAAGCTTAATTCTGCAAGGCATTTAAGAAGGAATTACAAAATCTTTCTAACGCTATTTGAAAGGGATGGATTTTTTAAGTAAAATCGTCAGTAGAATCCATAATTAGGGAAAATTATCAGTACTCTTTCTGTTTCGATTCAAGTTAAAGAATAATTCAGCATATATTTAATTTTAAATGTTCCAGGCATTAATTTTTGGATAAAGTAAAATTACCATAGTATGTATTTGTATTTAATGATTTGAATTCATCTATGTAACATTAGGAATCTGAATAGATTACATGCAGTCATAAAACAGCGAGAAAAAATTATTCAGATCTCTACTTTTGTTTTGATCCTTAACCAAACAGATCATTCTGCAACGAGATAATGAATAAAACTTTAAATGAAAGATCAATAAACTGATTCTTATATATTTATATCAATTGTTATCTTTTACGAATTTTATTTAAAATAGTTTGTCGAATCAATCTTACTAGGGCGTTCATTCCCATATCCTCTGCTTCACACTAGCCGATTTTGTGAATTCATTTATTTTTGGTCAGAAAAATGAATCAAAATGACATTCAATTAAATTATTTATAGCAAGTTTTTAAACAATGTTCGGTGCTGAGTGTAATAGAGATATTACTCTTTGTTGACAATTTTCTTTTTTGGTTAAATGAAATATAAATTTCAATGTTTAGCTTGGACTAATAAACAACGCAAATTCTATCTGGCGTAGAATGTTGCTTAATGTACATTGGAACAACATAAATGCACTAAAGAAAACCTCGGAATCGCCAATATTGTATAATAGTTTGTAAAAACCGATATGAAATTAAGCTCTGTAAATTACAAAGAATAAGCCTCTAATTAATTAATTAAGCAAGCGGTTTAGAAAAAAACTACCATTCATTCTAAATATAATCAGTTCCTGTTCGTTTCAATTATTTTAGATATATTATAAACAAGGTAACAATATTTAAAAATCACCTTATCTTTTTCTCACTATATTTTGCACATTTTTTTCTATTCAGTTTTGAAGGCATGTTTTGAATTTCGCCATTTTGGATATGTTAATGTTATTAAGAAAATGTTTCTAAAATAAATTCCGAAAATTTTATTCATTTAATTGAAAAATTAAAAAATAATTGTTAAATGTGCTTGATAGTTTTAATTTAAATATTATCATTTTTGCATCGTTATAATAACAAATTTTTCCTTATTACTTGGCAAAATAGAAATATGCAGAGCCGACATCAGCTTTAAAAATGTGTGACGCAGATAATCATTTTCTTAAAATGAAAATATTGGGACACAAAAGCAAATAAATGTCTTGTACTTGGTTTGTCATATTATTCTTCAAATGCAAAGAAGGGATCAACATTCACAAGAATGAAATATCGTTCAGAAATATGTTTGCTTTCGTACGTTTATGAATTTGTATACATGATGATAACATTAACGAGTAAAGGATAACGAGACAAGATTTGGGGTTGGATCATTGGTGCAAGAGGAGACGAAGTAAAGCAGAAATTTCGATAGAAGAGCCAATGCAGAAGAAGAGAGAAATATAATAAAGTGTTTGCTTCTTCGACTAAGCGAACAGGAGAGTGGGGCGTGTCCTATTAAGATTTCAGATAGGAATTCCAGTGAGAGATCACCCAATGTCTAAAGACGAAATGGTAGAATTCGAGAGATATTTCCCCCTGCCATCCTTCTTCTGATGCATCTTCTTCCTGCGGCAATATAGATTCTTTCTACTCCTTGCCTATAAATTGTCACCACATAACCAACCTTTCCTATCAGACTTTGCGCGCGAATCCTACAGACCACATCCTGTTCGAAACAAAAGGTTCCCGGATGTCAGGTAACTGCGTCCGATTGGTTATACTGGAACACTCTATACCGGATATCCTGTCTATACCACCTGCCGATTTGCCTAAAGGTAACTCCAACCGAGATGAGGCCCTTAGGTTTAGTGCAAGAGGAGAGAACAGAGCAGACGTGAAAGAAAGATATTTTGATTGTGTGAATGAGTGAGCAAGAACGATAGAAAGAAACAAGGAAAGAGATAAAAATCATGAAAGAAAATAGATAATGAAACTGAAAGGAAAGAATACAGAATCATATACTACAAAAAGACGAATATAGTAAATAATAACTGTAAGAAAGAAAAGATGTGTTTATAGTTTAAAGAGCAAAAAGGAAAATAAAGAAAATACTGAGTAACTTCGAAACGCAGAAGAAACAGTTTAGTAATAGAAGAGAAAATATTATTGTAAAAAGAGGAGTGACATTTTGTTGAATACTGATTTCTATCATATAATAAATGATGCCATTATTTCTTGTACTACGACATGAGTTAGCGGCATTGTGCTTGCTTATAAAAATATTGTAGGGAGTAATGTAAACTTCTACATCTTTCAATGTGGATCTTCCGATTTGTAAGCGTGCGAATGTTTATGTACGTGAAAGTAAAGAAAATGTGTAGAGGAGGGAAAGAGAATTGGAGGGCTTATGCTTCTATAACAGAGAAAAAGTGAACAAAACAATGTAGACATTCATATATATATATATATATATATATATATATATATAAATATATATATATATATATATATATATATATATATATATATATGTGTGTGTGTGTGTGTGTGCGTGAATGTGCGTGAGTGTGTGTTTATTATGTATTTGGGAAGCAATCCTTCTTTTATGCAAGTTTCGATGTAAATGACTGACAAGTTGCAGTGGTTGTGTTTTTTACATTATTTCTCATGTGTTCGTATGTATATTTTTTTTTTCTTTTCAGGACATAAATTACAGAACAAATTTCGAATGTTTTCCAAGCGCTTTCGGCTATACATTTAACCATTATGAATATCATATATATATATATATATATATATATATATATATATATATATATATATATATATATATGCATGATGAACGCTGACTTTCGGAGTGAATGGACAAAGTGTTTTATTGCTCCAAGAAAGCGATGTATTTTTAAAAGTGGGAAGTGATTTTGATTATTATTATTTATAAATTTATTATTCTCTTATTATTTATTTGTTTTAATCATTTCACTCCAAGCAAAGTAATTAAGACACTAACATGGGAGGAGGTAGTGTTATAGAATATGAGAAAATAATGGAGATTACTGAGTGTTATAGAATATGAGAAAAAACACTATTAAGGAGAGATAACATTAAAAAAAAACAAAAATTAAGAAGACAGTAGATAATGATCGACATTCTATTTAAATTTGAGATCAAACTTGACCCATAAGCCGGAAGAGAGTTCAACAAGTGAGAAGGGCAATAGAAGAAAAAGGTATCATAAAAATTACGGTTACATATACCCATTTCAACTGTAAAAGGATGTGCCTTATCGCATATCTAGTACTGTGCTTAAATTCATAACATTTAGGTATCATTAGAACAATTATCATGAAATTGCTGAATGAATTGCCAGGAGGACAGTGTTGTGATGCACGGCAAGTGCTAGGAGAGGAAGTACGGAACAAATCAAATATAGAAAAATGTTGATCCTATTCATCAGGAAAATTAATAGGGAAATCCACGATTTGATTAAGATATTGGGCAATCGGAATACCGGCTACATCAGTAACATTAGAGTACTTAAGCCACTTGACCTGATGTGCATTAAAATCACAAAATACAAAAATCTTCGCAGATGTATCTAGAGAGAGAGAGAGAGAGAGAAAGAGAGAGAGAGAAAGAGAGAGAGATCGCTATATTGTCAGAAAGTTTGTCTAATATATTACAGTCCTGAGAAGGAGGAGTGTGATAAAGGAAAAAGTGATAGCTATCAGAGTGTAATAACGAAAGTCGAAAAGTGTCATCAAGGGACTCATGTGATATTTCCCTTGCCATTGGAAGAATTTCGCGGATATAATTACCAATACCATATATACGCATGCTAGAATATTTTCGATAAAGAGTATGATAATCTGGAACAGAGACTTCATTGGTAGCAATAGAAGAATTTAAATTAGTTTCGCAAGGTATCTCGCGAAGATATCTGGAGAAAGGATTCTACAATACAGAAATTGAAATGAATTTCACGAATAGTGGAGAAAGTAAGTTTGAGTGGGTAGATTAATTTTTGTTTACTAGTTTACAATTATCAATTTTCAATGCCTTTGGCTTGAGAAAGTTTTGTTAAGAAGACAATAGTCAAAATAATTATCACTATCAGTGACAATGCAAACTGGTTAGAAGTTGACTAGGTGAAGATGTAACGCCAGGCTTGGAAATAAATGTAGATGCAGGTAAACATATGCGTTATAGCCCTAAAATACCCCAGTGTTATCCAACTGTTGTTCACAGCAGTCTCTTTAAACGCTTCCAAGTAGGATGCATCAGCCAGAGAACTAACAAATCGGTACTCTGATAATGAAACGTCAGACCACCACAAAGTTAAGACCCTTAAATCATTAGGTCCACGGAAGAAGAAAAACCTGTAAACCATATCCTAACCAGTAAGCAAATGATAAACCTATATTCCTGTTCAATAAATACGGCCGGGCTATAAGTGAACATCTGCTCCTATAAACCTGTTCACAGCACAGAAGTCTTGGCGCTTTTATCGAGACAACATCTCAAGAAACGTTGCCGGATAAGGCCAATTG